GCAAGTTATATCCAAAACCACCTTCTGGCAAGTTATATCCAAAACCACCTTCTGGCAAGTTATATCCAAAACCACCTTCTGGCAAGTTATATCCAAAACCACTTTCTGACAAGTTATATCCAGAACCAGCCTCTGAGAAGTTATATCCAGAACCACCTTCTGGCAAGTTATATCCAAAACCACTTTCTGACAAGTTATATCCAGAACCAGCCTCTGAGAAGTTATATCAACTCTTCCAAACTCATTAAATACGTTCCTGAAGTTTAGGATTTTAATAACAAATGCTATTACTATATTTAGGCTGACGTTTCATGTTAGCTTTTAGGGTTATATGTAACATAAATACAATTTTTAATGTGTTATTTTATTTTATTTAGTTTAAAATATCAGCACAGAGGTAGCAAACAAAGCCGTTATCGACATGCAACGTGACGTCATAGTTTCCTTGTAAGGCGCATTTGTGTGTAATAATTAAGATGCTTTTTTTATTTGTTTGTAGTTGAGCAGAAAGTTACACAATGGGCTCTATGCGCTGTTTTCACCGCGGGTATCGAAACCCGATTTTCACGTTATAAGTCCGCAGACTTACCAGTGTCACTGCCGGGCACTTAGAATGTAAAACTAGTGCACGCGAGTCGTAGAATATCAAGTGTTTTGTTGAGTGTTGTTATTAAAAACTTGTTTCTATTAACATTTAAAAAATTACTTTCACGAATTGAATCGTGGACGGGAGATGACCGGTTTCCGTTGTTTGGTGATATGTGTAGTTTCTACAGGATTGGAAGACATAGGATAATACTCCAGTTACTCGTCCACAGAGTTTGATAAATAACAACAACTTATATATTTTCATCGTTTATCGTTACAGAACAAAAGCTTTAGTTGTCTAATTCATACGGAGTTGAGCGCTATAGTCCCAAAAGCTTTAGTTGTGCAATTCATACGAAGTTGAGCGCTACAGTTCCAAAAGCTTTAGTTGTGTAATTCAAACTTGTACAAACTTTGAAACCATGATGAGCTAATGTGTAGTTGTAGGGCAAGGTGTAGTTGTAGGACAATGTGTAGTTGTAGGACAAGGTGTAGTTGTAGGACAATGTGTAGTTGTAGGACAATGTGTAGTTGTA